CATAATTTGTAAAATGTTATAAGGATAGGAATACAATTACTGTGATTTTTTTCACAGCAGAATTTGACTCTTACTGTATACTTTTATAATAATTAGGTAATAACATAAACCAGTGAACTGGCTTAAAAAAATAAATATTTTTTTCTCTGGGTTTAACTGCATTGATTTTAACAAAAATTTAATATGTTTTGGATAGCATAAAAAGTTTAAGATCTGTCTTTAAGAACCAATTTGTGTAGAAAGTGTGTTTTACCAACAACACAACAAATAAATCATATATCTTATTTATTTTTACCATTCCCCAGACTAGTAGATGATGCACCAGACAAATTTAACAGACCAGATTCAGCATTGCTTTTAAGAAATTGACTGCATGGTCCATTTTCAGTTGATGAAAACTGATGAAATGAAACAGCCTCAAGGTTCCTGAGAACATAATTTATGAGTAAATCCAATCAAAAGTAATTACCAATAAATAATACTAACCCTTTTTTCTCAGGACTAATGCTCATGGTTTTTATTTTTGATATCCATACCTGCATCTTATGAAAAAACTGTTCCTCTGTTATTAATGGATTATCATTGTTAGGATCTAAACAGTTCTTTAAACACATCAATTCCATCCTACAAAATTTACTAAAGTTAACTATGTTAATCAAGTTGCTTATTATTTTCATTACCACTACCAACATGTATGAATATGCTATTATAATATACTAAGTAAATAACACTATTAACATAAAAAAACACTAACAAGCTAAAAAAAGAAAAAAATGTAAGAAGTTCTTACGTATTATTTGATAAGAAAGGTGTCACAAATTCTATCAAGCTTTGTGCATGTGCTGAACCAACATTTTGTTTATCACAAGACAAAAAAATATCCTTTAGTGCGACACTACAAAGCTGCCCTTCTACAAATACAACATTATCCAAATAAACATATTAATGTCATCTTTAATTACAACTATTGTTTATACCTTCTCCTGGGGAATCTCCCGCTTCTGTGCCTGTAGGACACTTACTATCACCACTGTCGTTTGCCATTTGTGAATTTTGAAAATAAATAACTAATAATTTTAAGTTACAAAGTATACCATGTGCAAAACAGTAAACACCTACAAATATTTCTATGTATATTTACAGAAATTCTCGATATTCAACAAACTCACCGCTGTTCAAATGATGTAAACTATTCGAAGTTGACAAACGCACGCGCAGTTTAATTCACGTGCTATATTTTACATTGTTGCCAAAAAAAAAATAATAGTATAAATAAATTATTGTTCTATGGTTTTATAGGAATTCTTGAAATTTTCTTTTTTCACTTCTTATAAAAGAAAAGAGTATTGCTTAGGACCCAACTCTTCACTTCGAAATTTCAACTACTTCCCATCAGTCCAAATCTTAATCCTACTATGGATTTCGACCATGAAAACCTATTTTTTTATATTATATATTTTTTTTTTAATGTTTTGTAAGAAGTGAATACCAATTATAATTTATTTCTGTCGTTAAGAGTGGCAATAGAGACACATTTATCATTATTTGAAATGCGAGCAACATTATCTATGGATACTACCTGATAACTCCTATCTTTAACTATAGCTGGGTAATAACCATAGATAATAGATAATAACTAATAACCCTAACGACCCTAACCCCTTAGATTTTCGTTTTGTAAATGTTTTGCAATAAGCAGCGATTTGTTAATAACAATAAGTAGAAGTTAACTGAAAATGGTTGTAAAAAGCAAACGTAAAGCAGATGAATCTGCTTTAGTTCCTGTAGTGAAGAAAACCAGAAATGAAGTTGCTACAACTAGTAACAAAAACAAAGCTGTTGTAGAAGTTGTAAGTTAAACTTAAAGTAAATTATTTTCCTCTATTATTTATTACAATAACTTATTACTATTTTAGACAACAACAAGAACTTCGAATCTTTTTTCGCCAATTATGCTCTTAGAAGGACATGAAGGGGAAATATTTACTGTAGAATTTCATCCTGAAGGACAATACTTAGCTTCCTCCGGTTTTGATAGAAAAATTTGTACGAATTATGTTGTAAGAAATTAACTTCTCCCTTTATTACAATTATTGTTTTAGTTTTGTGGAATGTGTATGGAGAATGTGAGAATATTTCAGTCTTAACTGGACATACAGGAGCAGTAATGGAACTTCATTTTACTCCCGATGGCTCACACATTTTTACTGCAAGTACTGATTACACCTTGGGGTTGTGGGATATTTGTAGTGGTCAAAGGATTAAGAAATATAAAGGTCATACTACTTTTGTAAATACAGTTCAAGGTAAATTTATAGACATATACATATTAGAATGTAAAAAGTAACTTCCTTATTTATTGAATTTTTAAGGTGTGCGAAGGGGTCCACAGACATTAGTTTCTGGAAGTGATGATGCCACAATTAAGTTGTGGGATACTCGAAAAAAGAATTTTGTCAATTCCCTAAATGCGTCTCAACCTGTAAGCATAATGTTATTTTAAATATGTAGCTCTTTAAAATGTTTTATTATATTAGGTAACTGCTGTTACATTTAATGATACAGCTGAACAAATATTCAGTGGCAGTATAGATAACGAAGTAAAAGTGTGGGATGTAAGAAAAAATGAAATTTTATACACAATGAGGGGTCATACTGATACTATCACTGGTGTATCTCTTAGCCCAGATGGTTCATACTTACTTACAAATTCAATGGATAATAGTTTAAGGATTTGGGATATTCGTCCATATGCTCCACAGGACAGGTGTATTAAAGTGCTTACAGGTATAATATAAATTACTTTGTATTGAATTGAAAAGAAGCTTTTTCTAATTGAAATTGGTACCATCAGTCCACAAAAATTACCTATTTTTCACAATGTTTTTCTTGAAACTGATTGCTTAACTTAAAAGTCTGGGTATGACTCTGTGTTATTTGCTTCTCTAATTCTGATTGTATTTTTTTCGTGTGTTCCAATTCCTTTTGAAGTTGCTCTATTAATTGATCATTTACTTTAACGCTTTCAAATTTCTTTATTTGGGTATTCAACGATTCAATGTCCTTTTCTAAGCGTTTTATAACTACTTCTTTCTTTTCAATCAATGTGTTACATTCACATATTTTTTGAGACTGTATTTCTTCAGTTTGTTTTTTTATTAAATTGTCATCATCCAATTGTTTAGCTAAGTTATGAACAAGACGTTTTAGTTCCCAGATAGTTTCTTCTTTTGTAGCAATTGTGATTTTTAATTCGCTAATTTCTTCTAAAAGGCTATTTCGATTTTCTTCAGAAGCTTTTGAATTTTCGTTTAACCTGCTGTTCAGAATTTTCATTTCAGTTTTAAGTAGTTCAATGTGATTTTCTTTTTCTTTCAACGTTTCATTGAGTTTTTCTGCAAAATATATTTTCAGTTCGTCATATTCTTTTTTAAGATTATCGAATGAGTCCAATAAGCTAAGATGTTCGTGTTCAAGATTTTCTGTGGCACATTCTTTTAATTGCAAGTCGTGTTTTAATTTACCCAGTTCCGCAATAAGATTTTTATTCTTGTGTTCGTTATCTAAAATCGTTTGATTTAGGATGTTTTTCTGTTCTTTTATTTCTTTAATTTCAATTGCCAACATTTCTTCGTGTTTAACGATATTTTTAATTTTTTCTTCTAATTCTAATATATAAGAACAATTATTTTCGTTCAAACACTTCAAGTCAAGTTTTTCTTCTATGAGCAATTTGACTTCATTTCGTAAATTAGTATTTTCCTTATTAGTTTCCGTTTCATTTAGTTTGATGAGTTCAAGTTCTTTTTTAAGTTCCTCCAACTCTTCAGTACAAACCTCCAAACGCCTTTTTAAATCATCATTTTCTTCTTGCATTTGATCAAGAATGTTTTTCGAATTGTTATTAACTTCATTTTCTTTGCTTACCTAAAATATGTGAATTTGTAGTTTGTATACATTCAAAAATATGTACATAGTTTAAATATTGTAATTATTTGCTTTACATACCCAAGTATATGATTTACTGCTCTTTTACATAAAATAAAAATTTAAAAACTGTGTATACAGAATTGAATACAAAAACAAAAATTATTTGTTTATCTCATATCCCTTGTTATGAGAGTGAAAACAACAAGACTTTAACTATTTTACTGTTAAAATAAGCTTATACCTGAGATAGTTCATATAGTAATGAGTGTTGTGTGGTCATCGCGGATTCAGTTAATGGCATTTTTGAAAATAAATCATCTTCGCTGCTTGTATCATGAAGAAATATAGAGCTAGTCGAGTTATTTTTCAGTGGGGAATCACCAGTTGCAGCCTTTAATTCCGCATCTACAATATTAAAAAAATTCATCGTAGGTATGAAATTTATTAAAAAAAAACAATGATGAATTTTGTGTAAGCATAGTTATTTATTATAAAAGTTTTTCTGAAACAATCACACTTCATCCTCGTAACCGTATACCTTTACATTTTGGTTGACGTAATTTGTCTGACTTTTGTGGAAGTGGAATTGTTGGTCCTGATTCTGGTTCACCGACTAATCGATATTTCTTGAAAAATGTCGATTCACTTTGTTTCAGTTTGGGATGAAAAGATATCTGATCATTGTTTACCGTATCATTTTCTTCGAGTTTCTTCTCGAACGATGAGGAAGTGTTTGAATCTAAAGGTTTATTTATTTGACTGGGAGTTTTGCTTAAATTTGGACTGACCGGATTCTCAAGCATCTCTTTCAATTTCGGACTGTTGAAAACTTTTGCCTCGTGGTGTATGAAAGCGGTAATTGGAGAATTTGGAAAACGATTCGATTGCTGTTTTTGATGTACTATATGTAGACCACTATTTGGTGTGTTATTTAAATTTTTTGTACCTGAAGAACTTGAGATTAACGGGTTAGGTGGAGTTGAAGGAATAATGTAGGTTTGAGACAACTGTCCTCGTAACAACTTTTCCAGGGTAATTTTTTCCACTTTGAGACCCTTAAAAGAAGAAATTCAACTACTAAACCACGAATTCTTAATAGGGTAATTTTTACAGTATAAAAAATATGCATTTGCATGTATACAATGTTTAGATTTCAAAAGATAAATT